TTAATCTGCAAACTTGTAACCGAAGTGAATTAAGTATTCGATTTCAAAATAAATTATTAATAAAAATAGAGGTTTCGAAATTACAGAATAAAAAATATCGTTTGTCAACGAAAGGTCTAATGATCTCATCGACATACTTAACATTGATTTGCATAATGTGTACATGTTTTCAAATTGTATTTACTAAAATACATTTGTATGTTTCAATAACGACCTTCGCATATTCCTGTATATTAATTTTTACGGAAAAAAAATAATTTTTAGTCAGTTGCTTTTTTTTGTAATGAAAAGCCAGGAATATCGTTAATTTGAGCGATTAATTTAATTAGAGAATTTTTGAAAAATCTCATTTACAAAAATGAATAATTGACCTTGACATGAAATTGCCCTACAGTACGTTGCAAACATAATTAAACTCGACAGGTACTGTATTTTTTTTATAGAAGAGAACGTTGTAGACGACCGTAATTTTCGCAAGTGACTGTACATATATAATTTATCTGTTCCATTTTTTTGGATGTAGATGTTTTGTGTTAAAATTAATGTTTCATTAATTTCTATAAATGCTGTAGAGTGGCTGACACCATCACTATCTTTAGGTGATACTACATATTTTCTGAAAATAAATATACATTTGCAAACACCGAATCGATAAATGGATTAGATTTTTATGTTAGCTATTTATACTGGAAAAAAGTAAAATAGAAAAACGTAAATCTTATCTATTATTTAACCGATATGTGGGATATTATTTTGTTTCCTAAATTTAAACAACTTTTTTTTTGTAGGATACGTAGACAACTGTCGACTTCGCTAACTCACCATCGACAAGTCAGGGGTGGATTTTTAAGTTCAGAAGAACTTTATCATCAGCAAGGAGATCCTCAAGGCGAAGAAAAATGCTTGATAATGTGAAATTAGCATTAGTTTAGGTTTTTTCTTCTACTTATTAGACACTGACAAACTGCCTATTTCATAATAAGGTTACTCTTATCGCGTATTATTGTAAATTTATAATAAAAAAAAAAGAGTTTAAAAACTAGAATATAATGAATGAAAAGGAAATCAGAGAATTATTATACTTGACTAACTTTGTATTCATTTGAATATATAAGAGTTGTTTTAAACTGTATGTTGTGTTCTTAGGAGTAGTCAAGTATTTTGAAAAAAATAGATATTTTTAAATTACGAAATTCGTTCATATTCGATTTATTTACATTAAATGTGTTGCTCGTTAATTTCATCGGTTTCATTCTGGATTCTCAGAATGATCTTATAATGTTCAAGCCAAATATGCATTTATAATGTGTACAATTAATATTTTATATTGGTTGAAGCCTTCTTGCTGACTTCTTTTTTTTAATATTTTTTCAGTTTCCAAACTCGACAGTTTCCTAATGTAGAAACCACAAAAGTACATTTTAGATATATGAATGCATAGAAAAAACATAAATCCCTTACTATTAGAATAACAATATTATTTACATTTATGTTTTATATTTTTAATATTAAAGCATTTTTCATTTACATTCTATTTGAATAATTACGCTTATAAGATTTTGTAGTGTGTGTTTCTAAATAAATAAACGTTTAGTAGTATCATTTTTTATATTTTCCTCCAACTGGATTTATAATGCAGATGGTTAAAATCAAAAGATAAACACATTTTACAAATTGTATTTAATGTAAAACATAAGAAAAATCTACAAAGAAAAAAAGACAAATGCGATCTTTTTTAATGTTTATGTCTATGTATATACTAATACGAAAATAATTATCAGATGTTCTTTTACTTGACAATTACTTTGTAAAAATTAATTATTAACAACGAAATCCTTAAATCTACTTAATAAAAGCATATCATGTCAGATTCGGAGGCAGAAGTTATTTTAAGTCGGTTTTTTCTTCTTCTGCACTTGGTGAATGCCATGTTAGACGTTCTTCGTAAAATTTTATAACAATCTGCGGACATTTAACGTTAGCCTGCTTGGCTGGAACTAGATCTGCTTCGTCTGTTCCAGCCCATTTCATTAGGAACATTAATTGTCCTGAACTATCTGTTGCGCCAATTATTTTTTCAGGTTCAAGACCACGATCAAAACCGTGGAGCTTCTTTTCTTCTTTCTTCTTTGGAATTTTCGATCCAGAAGTAGGTGTTGGAGTACCTAAACAAATTCAGGGAATATATTTCCTATGTTACACTGCCATACAATTACTACAAAAAATCTTTACTCACTTGACCCTTTTCTCTTGCGGTTCTTCTCTTTTTCTTGTCGAGCTCTTTCTGCTTCAAACTCTTTAATTAAACCTGGACAATTTAAATTTTCTTTTGGCTCCCATGTATTATCTTTGTCTTCGAAACCGACCCATCTTAAATAATATTCCACCACCCCATTTGCATTTATTCGTTTATCTAAAATCTTTTGCACGGTATATACTTCCGGTTCTTGATCCTCCGTTGAAGGCGTTGAACCACGCTTTTTACTTGTTTGGGTACTCATTTTACCGACAAACCTAACCTATAAAATAAAAACTTGCAATTTCCAACTGCTATGTATTAAAATTGTTTAGTTAATAATTAAAACAGCATTTTATGAACAGTTGATTATTAAACGATGATTTTACGCCTTCAATTAGCCTAAGATATTTTGATAAGGTAAGAATGCAAACTCCAACAAAGCTTCTTATGTTATTAGGGTATAATTTCATTTAACTTATTTATAAAACTGGTACAAAATATTAAATAGAAAAGAAGGAATTTAAAAGATGTACTTACAGTCTATATTCAAAATACAAACTTTACAATATAACAATTAATACGGCCAAAATGGCTGGATTCACTAATTTTAAGTATTGCTTGTTGATATTAGTTGACAAATGGTTGACAATATTGCTGTGTCAAAAGTAGATGCGAGTAAATTGGCGGGAACGTCGATTAAATTCATAAATGTCTTTTTGTACATTAATTAGTTAAAGATCTTCAACTAGTACTGCGCTAACATTGTGTTTTGGTGAATTCTGAAATTTAATGGTGTTGAAGCCAAAAATTTATTTTAAATACCATACTCTTGTTAATTGATACATTAAGTACCTTCAGATGTTAAATGATAACAGCTACCGGAGGCCGAGCATATTAAAATGGAGGTTGTGTAATACAGAAGAAGTGTCAAAATTTTTATTAATTTTATAAATATTCATTAAAGTTGTACCATTCCAGCAAGTTTAACGATAATTACACTTGGTTTGTGTTGTGCAGTTCGTTGACGTGTTATTAACTTATTTAATTTAAGAAGGGTTATTTCTAAAGTCGGAGCAATGCCAGGCCCTAGCGACACCCCTGCCTCTACGAGGCTTACAAACGATGATTTTCGTAAATTACTTATGACCCCAAGAGCGACTCCGTCTAGTGCCCCAGCTGCTGGATCAGTTCGTGAAGCTATGGCCAATTCTTCATCAACGGAGCCTCCTAAAGACGACAAAGGAGAAGCGAGACGAAAGAAGAAAAGCTATTATGCCAAACTGAAGAAACAGGAGGATAATAAATTAGCCGAGCTTGCGGAAAAATATAGAGATAGGGCTAGTGAAAGAAGAACCGGTGCTAATCCTGACTACCAGACTTTAGACCCTATGAATGCTGCACAAGCTTATAGAGCTGTTGCACCAGATTTGAAATCAGGTTTTGATGCTGCAGAACGTCGAAAGCAAATGATTCAAGAATCCAAATATTTAGGAGGTGACATGGAACATACTCACTTGGTCAAAGGTACATACTTGTTTATCTGTTAAATAATTATATAATACATCTTGCATTCTGCATTCATTAATAGAGAAGTATTAGGGAACCTGTGAACATTCTTCTTATTTGACTTCACAAGAATTGCATCTTAAATTTGATGTCTGTATCCTGTTTTAGGTTTGGACTATGCATTATTGCAAAAAGTTCGTGCAGAAATTCAACAAAAAGAAGCAGAACAAGAGGCAGAGTTAGAAAGGCTTGCAAATAAACCCTTGGAGGAAAAAGAAAAAAAAGATGAACATAAAAGAGATGAAGATGAACTGCAGTTTAAAACAAAAATTGGCAGAACAATTCACAAAACTATCTGTACATTGAAATCAAGACATATTGAGAAAAACGAACTTTTCGTTCAAGGAAGAATGGCATATGTTATTGATCTAGGTGGAGCTATTGTTTTTAATATATATTAATTACCATTTTATTGGTGACAATTATTTTAGAGGACGAGGCTGATAGCGACATTCCAACAACATTAATAAGATCGAAGGCTGACGTTCCGTCTTTGGAAAACACTGCAACTTTGACGACCAACGATATAGTTATAAACAAACTAACTCAAATTTTAAGCTACTTGCGCCAGGGTAATTTACTAGTATCATATGTGTCTAACTAATTATTTATTTTCGATATTGAATTAATTATAGGTAGCAGAAGAAACAAAAAAAGCAAGAGGGGTATAATTGATCGTAAGGACATTAACGGTGAAATAGTCGAAGAAGAGGAAAATGCGAAAACTGAAAAGAGACAGAAAATTGACGATTCTATTTACGGAGAAATAGGAGACTATGTTCCCACGGCTCATGGACGTGGTGAGCTATCTCGTGAGAGTAGAAAACGTCAGCCATACTTCGACAAAAGGGAAGACGAATTGATAAGGGATAGCGGTCCATCATTCAGAATTAATAAATCTGCACAAATACTCAATAAACTTGCCCAGGAACCTGAAGGTTATGCCGAATGTTACCCGGGACTGGAAGAAATGAACGATGCTATAGATGATTCAGACGACGAGGTCGATTATTCTAAAATGGATCTTGGTAATAAAAAAGGTCCCATTGGACGATGGGACTTTGACACCGCTGAAGAATATTCTGAGTACATGAATCAAAAAGAAGCATTACCTAAAGCCGCCTTCCAATACGGCATCAAGATGACGGATGGACGAAGGTCAAGAAAACACAAGGAGAAGAATGAAAAAGCTCATCTTGATCGGGAATGGCAAAAAATACAGAATATTATCAACAAAAAGGTAGTTTAAGTTCAGCATGCTTTTTTCTATTTTTTTTTTTAATGTTTTCGTCGATGCGATTTATAGTATCGATATTGCTGGAATTTGTTTAAATGTGCATATAGCATACACTAATAAGAAAAGTAAATCTTTAATAGTACAGTGTAAATATCGATAGATTAAATCGATTAATTTACATACTGTATTTATTAAAAGAAAAATAACGTTTCCTAAATTAAAGATAAATTGCCTTTTTTGTTCACATGTGAATGAATTAAAAATATGTATATGTATATGATAAATAATAAGTCTCTATTCTTAGCTGTATTAGTTAGTTTAATTTAATATTCATTGTGAACGGCCAATCTTGAAAACTATCGTTTTAATGCCGAAAATAAGACATTCATTTAGATATTTTATTGAAAATGAAGGCGCCGGAACATTGAAAAGAAAGCCTACAATTGAGCTATAATTCTGGTTTCTTTGAAATATTTTATTTTTTGAATATAGACGTGGTAAGGGATGCTAATTTATATTTTTCTTTTTACAACAAATAATTAAATTACAATTTGCAATACATTTATAGACAACCCAACATACAGGCAATTATTTTTTAATTAATTGTAAAATAGACTCCGGGTACTCAGTGGATAGGAAATCGTTTGTGAATTACAAATGTGCAAGGTAAAATGTTTGTGAATGCTTATTTTTCAAGGAAAAAAGAAAAATAAGTTTAATTTTTTACTGCCCTCTGATGTTATCATAAATAGTTATATAGGGAAGTTGATATACTGCTGTTGGTTGTCATATCTATGGTGTTCATCTATATCTATTTTACTTTATTTTCAGTTCATAGACAAATTCAGTTGTGGTCATAGATAATAGGTTGTGGTTGTCATTAACAGAAATCAAGGGTGAATTTTTAAGAAAATATTGAATATTAACTAAACTGATTCAAAGTGTGTATACTGTTTGAATTGTTAGTGTTCCCTACTTCTTATTTGCTGCTACTATTTAAAGTAAGTGATTAAAATATGTATGTATGTAGTACTTCTTCTATATCGTTACATTTAACCTAAAAATGTAAGTAACACATGATAATGTACTGCTTTTTTTTCATTACTTTAGTCTATGACTTTAGTATAACTATTCATAATGAGTCGATTTTTTGCTACTGGTTCGGACTCTGATTCGGACAGTTCAACAGAAGAGGAGGTCGTACAACGTCCCACAGTTCCTGTCTATACAGTATGTAATTGTAACATGCGTAAGCTACTTTTTCAAATCATTAGTAATATAAATTTTAGTTCAGTGATGAAGAGGAGGAAGTTAAACGAGTTGTACGTTCAACGAAAGAGAAACGTTATGAAGAACTTACAAATTTAATAAAGCAAATCAGAAACTATAAAAAGATTAAGGATATGAGTAGCATGTTGACAAGTAAATAATGGCACATAAAATTAGGGAAAATTGGTTTATAATTTAAATTTTTAGGTTTTGAAGAATTACAAAGAGCTTATGTGAAGGCATTACCAGTTGTTCAGAAGGAAGAAAATGGACAGACTCCCAGATTTTACACTCGTTGTTTAGTGGAACTTGAGGACTTTATTACTGAGGTATGGGAGGATCGTGAAGGAAGGAAAAACATGAGTAAAAACAATAGGTAAGTACTGAACATTGAAATGTGCATGGACTACATTTTGTTATTTTTAACAGTAAATCGTTATCATCTATTCGTCAAAAGTTAAGGAAATATTTGAAGGAATTTGACCAAGATATTGCCAAATTCCGTGAAAATCCCGATTTGCCTGACGATGAAGAAGAAGAAGATAAACGTAATATTTGCGCATTTTTCGTTTAATATCTGTTATTATTATCGATATTTTACTAGGTGAGCCGGAAATTGATTCAGACACGGAACAACCTATTAAGATAAGCCAGCGTCCCTCCGAACGTTCCAAACCTACAGATGAAGGAAACTCCTCTTCTGACTCGGATGATTGGCCATCAGACTCAGATTCAAGTTCTGATTCATCTGAAGACGAAGAAAAGTTTACAAGCATGAGGGAGAGGTTTTTAAAAAAAGCAACAGATAAAGACGACGATGAAGAGAAAGAACGCAAAAAGGAGGAACGTAAAAAAGAGAGAAAGGATCGTGACAAACGTAAAATAAGAAAAGAAGATGAAGAAGATGGCGAAGGAGAATGGGAGACTGTTAAGGGAGGAATGGCAATACCAAGTGTATGTTTTTATTTCTGTGTTTTTCATTATTTTGATGTTTTCTTTGTGTTTTAGGAGAAGCCGAAAATGTTCGCCAAAGATGCTGAAATTAATACTTCTCTTGTAATTAAGAAATTAAGCGAAATTATTGCCGCCAGAGGCAAGAAGAGAACAGACAGGCGTGAGCAAATCGAACTTTTACACGAACTCCAAACAGTAGCTGATCAACACCAACTGGGCCCTGCTGTAGCCATCAAAATTAAATTCGCTATAATTTCGGCAATTTTTGATTACAATCCAAAAGTTTCTGATGCAATGAAACCAGAATATTGGACTAAGTAATTAATTAATTATCTGAATTAAATTTCACTGTAGATCCAACGCTTCTATGTTTCTATAGGTTGTTAGAAAGAATTGCTGAGATGCTAGACATGCTAGAGGCAAATCCGAACATATTTATTTCCGACAGCGTCACTGAGGACACAGAGAGTCTCGAAGAGCCCCCGTTCAGGATTAGAGGATGCGTGTTAACATCTCTGGAACGTTTGGATGACGAATTCATTAAGTTGCTGAAAGAATGTGATCCTCATAGCAACGAATATATCGAAAGGTGTAGAAGTATTATTCTGATAAAATTGTGATGCTTATTAGAACATGTTTTTATTCTAGATTAAAGGACGAGTCAAAGGTATCTGCAATAATATGCAAAGTGCAGAATTATTTAGAAAGATATGGGACGCCCACGGAGTTGTGTCGCATTTATTTACGTAAAATAGAACATCTTTATTACAAGTTTGATCCACGAGTTCTTCAAAAAAAAGCTGTAAGTTTTACCATTATTTAGTTTTTTATGGGAGTAAATTTAATTTGAACATTGAAAGGAGTAAGTAACTAGCCCACCTGCAGGTATACTTGTGGGGGAAATTGTTGTACTGTATTTTATNTTTTTAACGAAAATAAATCATGTAAGTTTTCAGAAAATCATTTAAATATATCTAAATAAGTTTCTCTTATCTTTCTTAAGTTTCAGATGAGATATTACAATCTCTGTATTCTATCTTTGGGATGACATTTACTAAAGCGCTTGAATTATTAGATAATAGTCGATTTGTCGTTTATAAAACCGATGATAACTCCAGAAACATTATGAAAATTGAAAAAAATAAAGATCAACAAAACTTTATATTTTCTGACATTAATTTTTGTCATTGTAATACATTTAAACTACGTGTTTTAGATTCGCAAACATCTCTACTTTGTGAGCATGTACTTGCCGCAAAATTATCTCGAATTGTAAGAAATTTTAGAATAGAGCAAGTTAGTAAAGGTGATTTAAAGAATCTCTTGAATGAACAAATATTTAGTGTAATATATGATAAATAATATTATATTACATAAATTTTCTTTTATTTTTTTATTATAGTGAATATTGTGCATGGTGCTGCCATCTGTGTTAAATGATGTTACTTCACGCCAAAAATTACGAAAATGTCGAATTTTCTCATAGAAAACTGTCAGTTGGAACCCCACCTATTCCTTGAATAAATCCGTTAATAAAAGAATAATATTGCTGGGTTGTGGTGTGTTTGATAGGCGTGTGTACGTATGCAATTTAATGGTTTAGTGTGTATACATCATCACCGAAAATAGTCTGTTACCTAAAGACCTCGACCGCGTTTCGTTAAGCGTCGCGTCGCCGCGTTTGTCCATTCTTGTTTGCGACTCTCTAAGAGTTAACTGTGTGTGAACTAGAAAAAATTCGAGAGCACCAGTGAAGTGCAGCAATCGTTCGTCTGAAATTCAAATCGTTAATCAAAATGACATCGAGAACGAAAAAAGGCTCGACACCTGTGTCTCAAACGACGCCTTCCAGCGGCCGTCCTTCTAGCCCATTGAGCCCTACAAGGGTTTCCCGTTTACAAGAAAAGGCAGAATTACAAAACTTAAACGATCGATTGGCCACCTACATTGACAAGGTACGTTATTTAGAAGCGGAAAATAGCCGGCTTTCACGGGAGGTACAATCCACGCAAGAAACAGTTACGCGGGAAATTCAAAATATTAAGTCCATGTACGATCATGAATTATCTGACGCACGAAAATTGTTAGATGAAACTCATCGTGAAAAGGCTCGCTTAGAAATCGACACCAAACGTTTGTGGGACGAAAACGAAGAATTAAAAGAAACGCTTGCTAAAAAAAGTAAAGATCTTGCTCTAGCGGATAATTCTGTTCGCGTTTTAGAGACTCGTAACAACGACTTAACACTAAAATATAATCAAGCCCAAAATGATGCTAAAAAGGCAATGAGTGAACTGCGTGACCTTGAGAAAGAACGGGATAAGCTTAAAAAACAAATCGAGGAACTTCGCAAGCAATTGGAAGAGGAATCACTTGCTAGAGTAGACGTAGAAAACAATAATCAAAGTTTACGCGAAGAGTTGTCCTTCAAAGACCAAATTTACCAACAACAGCTGACGGAGACTCGTACCAAACGTCAAATAGAGATAAGCGAAATCGATGGTAGATTAGCTGAACAGTACGAAGCTAAATTGCAACAAGCATTGCAGGAATTGCGAGATCAATATGAAACCCAAATGGCCAATAACAGGCAAGAAATCGAACTGTTGTACGAAAGTAAAATTAAAAATTTGCAAAGTGCAGCTAACCGCAATACTGGCGCCGCTTCTGCTGCTCTTGATGAACTCCGTCAAACACGAGTACGTATCGATTCCCTTAATAATCGAATAACCGAATTAGAAAATCAAAATTCGGCTCTAGCAAGTCGCGCTAGGGACCTGGAGAAGCAGCTAGAGAATGAGCGTATTCGTCATGCTGAAGATCTCGCCCTCTTGGAGGACGAATTGGCACGTTTACGAGACGAAATGGCTCAGCAATTGCAAGAGTATCAGGATCTCATGGACATAAAAGTGTCTTTGGACTTGGAAATAGCTGCATATCGTAAGCTTCTGGAATCAGAAGAAGCGCGACTCAACATCAGCGGGAATGCTGCAGCTGAACTGCAGCGATCAGTTCGAGGAAGCTCGACATCCTCGCAAAAACGTTCGACACCCTTAAGATCATCGGCTGGTGTTGGTTCAAAACGCAAACGTACCCTAATGGAGGAAAGCCAAGAACACAGTATGGCTGATTACAGTGTATCAAACTCTTCAAAGGGCGATGTTGAAATATCGGAAGCCGACGCCGAAGGGAAATTTGTCAAAATTCACAATAAATCCAACAAGGAAATATCACTAAGTGGCTGGCAGATTGTCAGGAAAGCAGGAGAACTGGAAACTGTACACAAATTCAATCGTGGTGCAAAGATCGAACCCAAAGGCGAAATCACCATTTGGTCGTCAGATATCGGCAAGGATCACGAACCCCCATACAACGTGGTGCTTAAGGGACAGAAATGGTTTGTCGGGGACAATATGACAACGAAAATAATTAATAGTAATGGAGAAGAAGTGGCTATATCAGAAAGGTGGGTTAGCAGTACTTCAAATAGTTTGACCCGTTGGAGGTGGTAAAAAACTGACAATAGGGTTGGATGATGAAGTTCTGCCTTCACTATTCTAAACTGTTCTATTTTGTTTAGTAGTTAATGTTATGTTTCACCTTGATATGTTATTTTGGTAGGTTTTTGTGTGGGGCCAAAGGGGTTCATTTTCTCATTTAAAAGTTTCCTTTTAACATGCATTTGGTAAAGATATTACAAAAACAAATACCGTTCTGTGAATTAGTTGTCTACAAACGAAAAACCCACAAAATGTAAATAATTGAGTCTAATTTATTTAGCTTTTTTTTTTGTTTTCAAAGTGCATTTATATTATGAAAAGCAGAGTCTGTTCGTTTTTTTGGTAGAAATATACCTAGATACTGAGAAGACTTTTTTTTAATCATGAACCGATAATAGGTAATGTTACATTTTTTCTTTATACTACTGTACATCCTTGAAAGCTCATTCCATGGTCGTACTGTTACGTCATCGTTCTTTTTTGGAAACAAATGTATGACATCATCACCGAAATACAAATAGAGCTAATGGATAACTGATTTCCAATCCAGAAAGCCTATTTTCTTTTTTAATATCCCACTTTTCAGGCACATTTTTGTGTCTATTTATTATTTTTTTTTACTCTTAAAAACAAGTCTAAGGGAGATCATAAAGATTTATTATTTATCAGTAATTATCTCTTAGATATAAAATGCCAAGTTACGTTTATAAAATTGAATAATTTATAGTATGCCCAAGTACATTTGAAAGAAATAAATAGGTAGACGTCCTATTATATACAATGAAATGTGTATACATAGATTGTTTTACCATATGTAAAATGTGTTTAAGATAAAAGTGTATGTACAGTTACACGCAGAAATAACGAAACAGTTTGCGACACATTCTTTGGTTAAATCAGTGAAATTTTTGAGTCACTGTTTCTATATTTTTGTTGGAATGTAGGTATGTATACATTATATACATACACACATATGATAGTATGTGAGTACATATTTGTTAGCTGGAGTTGGCACCTAAGTTTTTTTTTATTCTTGCATAAAGCTAAACTAAAATGATGCTTTATATATGCCCATTTCCAGTTAATAAAATATTATTAGGTATCTACTTATATTTTTCATCGAGTATATGCACATGTAGCAGCTATTGTGTCGTATACTAGAAACTCGCTTATTTGTATGACTGTCTGTATTACTTTAGTTTAACACAAGAACACGTATTCGATAATAAATATTAACTAATCTAGATTTAAAAATTGATTATAATATACATATACCTATAATGTAAATGTACCGTATTTCTTACTATAGCATTTGTGGTATTTATTAATAACGTTTAAGTTGACGCTAATCTAAAAATTGTATTTTGTATTGCCCTTTCAATCATTAAAAAGCCTTATTAAATATTTTTTTATTAATTATTATTTCCGAGTTTACGCGA